GCCCCCTTCACTCACATGACGAGGCCGCCTCCGCCAGCACTTCCGCCAGTACTTCCATCAGCACTTCCGCCAGCACTTCCGTCATCACTTCCGTCATCACTTCCGCCAGTACTTCATCATCACTTCCGCCAGTACTTCCCTCAGCACTTCTGCCAGCACTTCACGAACACTTCCGTCACCACTTCCGCCATCACTTCCGCCATCACTCCCCCTCCGCGCAGGCGCTTTGGGGAAGGGGAGGGAGGGAGGGAAGGGGGAAGGAAAACCCGAGGGGGAAGCGGAAAGGCCCGGGCCGAGAAGGGGAAGAGAAGGGGGCAGGAGGGAGGGTTAAATGGCGGCGGCCTCGGCGGCCCCTGAGGACGAGCTGGTCTCGTCGGTGACGCTGTACCGGCGGCGGCCGCGCCTGCTGCGCGCCACCGTGCTGCCCTTCGCCGCCGGGCTCTACCCGGCGTGGCTGTGGCTGTGGGGGCCGCGGCTGTGGCGGAGGAGGAGGAGGGCGAGGAGGGAGCAGGGCGGGCCGCCTGAGGCGGCGCTGCTGGCGCTCGGCGCCATCGCGGCTCTGCAGCTGCTGACGGCGCTGGTGGGGCTCTGGTCCGTGCACGCCCAGTGCGCGCTCACCTGCGTCAGGGTGAGTGAGGGGGAGATGGGGTGTGAGGGGTTTGGGGGTTTGGGGTTTGAGGGGGTGAGGGGGTTTGGGGTTGGGTGTGAGGGGGTTGGAGGTCTGAGGGGGAGAGGAGGATTTGGGGTTGGAGGTGTGGGGGATTGGGGGTGTGAGGGGAAGGGGGGTTTGAGGTGAGGAGAAGGGAGGATTTGGGGTTGGGGTGTGAGGAGCGTTTGGGGATGTGAGGATCGGGGGTGTGAGGGGAAAGGGAGGGATTGGGGAGTGAGGGGGAAAGGGGAGATTTGGGGTTGAGGGTATGGTTCTGAGGGAGGCTGTGAGGGGGAAATGGGGATTTGGGGTGAGGGGTTTGGGGTTGGGGTGAGGGGGTTTGGGTGTGAGGGGGATTTGGGGGTTTGGGGTTTGAGGGGGATTTGGGGATTTGGGAGTGTGAGGGGAAAGGGGATTTGGGGTTGAGGGGTGAGGGGGATTTGGGGTGTGAGGGTCTGAGGAGGTTTGAGGTGAGGGAAAGGGGTGGATTTGGGGTTGGGGGTGTGAGGGGAGATGGGGGTGAAGGTGGAGGATTTGGGGTTGGGGTGAGGGAGAGGTTGGGGTTGGGGGTGTGAGGGGGAAAGGGGGATTTGAGGGTGTGAGGAAAGGGGAGGATTTGGGGTTGGGGGTGAGGGGAAAGGGGTGGATTTGGGGTTGGGGTGTGAGGGGGAAAGGGGGATTTGGGGTTGGGGGTGTGAGGGGGATTTGGGGTGTGAGGGGTGTTGGAGGTGTGAGGGATTTAGGGTGGGGAGGGGATTTAGGGGTGGAGGGGATTTGGGGGTGTGAGGGTTTGGGGGGTGAGGGGGAAAGGGGGATTTGGGGTGTGAGGGGTGAGAGGAGGTTTGAGGTGTGAGGGGATTTGAGGGTGTGAGGGGGTTTGGGGATTTGGGGTTTGGGGATGTGAGGGGGTGAGTGAGGGATTTGGGGTTGGGGGTGAGGGGGAAAGGGTGAGGGGGTTTGGAGTGTGAGGGGATTTGGGGGTTTGGGGTTTGAGGGGATTTGGGGGTGTGAGGGGAAGGGGAGAATTTGGAGTTTGAGGGTGTGAGGGGATTGGGGATGTGAGGAGGAAAGGGAGGATTCGGGGATTTGGGGCTGGGGGGTGAGAGGGGTTTGGGGTGAGGGGGATTGGGGGTGTGAGGGGAAACGGGAGGATTTGGGGTTGGGGCTGTGAGGGGGTTTGGGGGTGTGAGAGGAAAGGGGAGGATTTGGGTTTGGGGTGTGAGGGGTTGGAGGTGTGAGAGAGGTTTGGGGTGTGAGGGATTTGGGGGCTTGGGGGTGTGAGGGAAAGGGGGACTTTGAGGTGTGAGGGGAAAGGAGGGATTTGGGGGTGAGGGGAAAGGGGGAATTTGGGGTCTGGGTGAGGGGATTTGGGATCTGAGGGGTCTGAGGGGGTTGAGGTGGAAAGGGGAAATTGGGGTGTGAGGGGGAAAGGGGAATTTGGGGGTCTGGGTGTGAGGGATTTGGGGTATGAGGGGTTTTGAGGTGGAAAGGGGGAAATTGGGGGTGTGAGGGGGAAAGGGGGAATCTGGGGGATTTGGGGTTTGGATGTGAGGGGTCTGAGGGGGTTTTGGGCTGGGGTGCAGGGTCTGAAGGGGGATTTGGGGTGTGAGGGGGTTTGGGGTGAGGGTCTGAAGGGGGATTTGGGGGTGTGAGGGGGTTTGAGGTGTGAGGGTCTGAAGGGGATTTGGGGAGTGTGGGTTTGGGGTGTGAGGGTCTGAAGGGATTAGGGGTGTGAGGGGTTTGGAGGGTTGGGGTGTGAGGGCGAAGGGGGAATTTGGGGTGAGGGGAAAGGGGGATTTGGGAGTGTGAGGGAATGGGGATTTGGGGGTGTGAGGGGAAAGGGGTGGATTTGGGGTTGGGGGTGTGAGGGGAAAGGGATTTGGGGTGTGAGGGGATTTGGCGGATTTGGGAGTGTGAGGGAATGGGGGATTTGGGGTGTGAGGGGGAAAGGGTGGATTTGGGGCTGGAGATATTTGGAATTTGAGGAGGATTTTGGGGGGGATTTGGGACTGGGGATATTTAGGATTTGAGGAGGATTTTGTGTTGGATTTGGGACTGGAGTTATTTAGGATTTGAAGAGGAATTTGGGGGGGATTTGGGACTGGGGATATTTTTGGAATTTGAGGAGGATTTTTGTGTTGGATTTGGGACTGGAAATATTTAGGATTTGAAGAGGAATTTGGGGGGGATTGGGACTGGAGTTATTTAGGATTTGAGGAGGATTTTTGAGGTGATTTGGGACTGGGGATATTTGGAATTTGGGGAGGATTTTGGGGGGATTTGGGACTGGGGTTATTTAGGATTTGAAGAGGATTTTTCGGGTGATTTGGGACTGGAGTTATTCAGGATTTGAGGAGGATTTTTGAGGTGTTTTGGGACTGGGGATAATTGGGATTTGAGGAGGATTTTTTGGGTGATTTGGCACTGGAAATATTTAGGATTTGAAGAGGATTTTTTGGGTGATTTGGGACTGGGGATATTTGGAATTTAAAGAGGATTCTTGGGGGGATTGGGACTGGGGATATTTGGAATTTGAGGAGGATTTTTGGGTTGGATTTGGGACTGGAAATATTTAGGATTTGAAGAGGAATTTGGGGGCATTTGGGACTGGGGATAATTGGGATTTGAGGAGGATTTTGAGGTGGATTTGGGATTGGAAATATTTAGAATTTGAGGAGGATTTTGTGTTGGATTTGGGACTGGAAATATTTAGGATTTGAAGAGGATTTTGGGGTAGATTTGGGACTGGGATTATTTAGGATTTGGGGAGGATTTTTGGGTTGGATTTGGGACTGGGGATATTTGGAATTTGAGGAGGATTTTGGGGGGGATTTGGGACTGGAGTTATTTAGGATTTGAGGAGGATTTTGGAGGTGATTTGGGACTGGGGATATTTGGAATTTGAGGAGGATTTTTGGAGGGATTTGGGACTGGGGATAATTGGGATTTGAGGAGGATTTTGGGGGGATTTGGGACTGGAAATATTTAGGATTTCAAGAGGAATTTGGGGGGATTTGGGACTGGGGATATTTGGAATTTGAAGAGGATTTTGGGGGCGGATTTGGGACTGGGGATATTTTCAGGTGATTTGAGGGGGATTTTCAGGTGGTTTGGGATTGGGAATGTCCTGATCCCAACCCAATTCCTCCCGTGATGGGAATTCCCATTTTTTTTTCCCCTCTTTCCCACCAGGAACCGTGTCCCAAAAAAGCCACCTTGGCCAAAGTGGTGCCCACCCCCAACAACGGCTCCGTGGAGCTGGTGCCGCTCCAGAGGGATCAGGTGAGAGGATCAAATATCGTTAATTAAGTAGAAAATCACGTTAATTAATGCTCTTTATTCTTCCCAGGGTGAGGATGGGGAGGAATCCCTTTCTTTCCTGCCTGAAAATATCATTTATTGAGTAATTCCTGCCTGAAAATATCATTGAATTGAGTAATTCCTACCTGAAAATGTCATTTATTGAGTATAAAATAACATTAATTAATCCTCTTTGTTGTTCCCAGGGTGAGGATGGGGAGGAATCCCTTTCTTTCCTGCCTGAAAATGTCATTTATTGAGTAATTCCTGCCTGAAAATATCATTTATTGAGTAATTCCTACCTGAAAATATCATTGAATTGAGTAATTCCTGCCTAAAAATATCATTTATTGAGTATAAAATAACATTCTTTAATCACCTTTGTTGTTCCCAGGGTGAGGATGGTGAGGAATCCCTTTCTTTCCTGCCTGAAAATATCATTTATTGAGTAATTCCTGCCTGAAAATACCATTAATTAACTATAAAATCCACTTAATTGCTGATTTTCTTGCAGGATGAGGACGGGGAGGAGTCGCTGTCGTTCGAGTTCCAGAAGCTGCGCTATTCGTACTTGGAACATTCCAGAACATTCTGGAACATTCTGGAACACACCATTAATTGAGTGTAAATTGAGGTTAATTGATGATAATTTTGTGTAGATTGATGTTAATTACTGATTTCTTTGCAGGATGAGGACGGGGAGGAGTCGCTGTCGTTCGAGTTCCAGAAGCTGCGCTATTCCTACGTGGAACATTCCAGAACATTCTGGAACATTCCGGAACACACCATTAATTGAGTGTAAATTGAGGTTAATTGCTGACAATTGAGTGTAAATTGATGTTAATTGCTGATTTTCTTGCAGGATGAGGACGGGGAGGAGTCCCTTTCGTTCGAGTTCCAGAAGCTGCGCTATTCCTACGTGGAACATTCCGGAACATTCCGGAAAACCCCATTAATTGAGCGTTAATTGAGAATAATTGCGTGTAAATTGAGGTTAATTGACGATAATTGAGTGTAAATTGAGGTTAATTGCTGATTTTTCCCCAGGATGAGGATGGGGAGGAGTCCCTTTCGTTCGAGTTCCAGAAGCTGCGCTATTCCTACGTGGAACATTCCGGAACATTCCGGAAAACCCCGTTAATTGAGTGTAAATTGACATGAATTGCTGATTTTCTTGCAGGATGAGGATGGGGAGGAGTCCCTTTCTTTCGAGTTCCAGAAGCTGCGCTATTCCTACGTGGAACATTCCGGAACACACCATTAATTGAGTGTAAATTGACATGAATTGCTGATTTTCTTGCAGGATGAGGACGGGGAGGAGTCCCTTTCGTTCGAGTTCCAGAAGCTGCGCTGTTCCTACGTGGAACATTCCGGAACATTCCAGAAAACCCCATTAATTGAGCGTTAATTGAGAATAATTGCGTGTAAATTGAGGTTAATTGACGATAATTGAGTGTAAATTGACATTAATTGCTGATTTCTTTGCAGGACGAGGACGGGGAGGAGTCGCTGTCATTCGAGTTCCAGAAGCTGCGCTATTCCTACGTGGAACATTCCGGAACATTCTGGAAAACCCCGTTAATTACGGTGTAAATTGACGTTAATTGATGATAATTTTGTGTCGATTGACGTTAATTGATGATTTCTTTGCAGGACGAGGACGGGGAGGAGTCGCTGTCATTCGAGTTCCAGAAGCTGCGCTATTCCTACGTGGAATATTCCGGAAAACCCCATTAATTGAGGTTAATTGATGATAAATGAGTGTAAATTGACGTTAGTTGCTGATTTTTCCCCAGGATGAGGACGGGGAGGAGTCCCTTTCGTTCGAGTTCCAGAAGCTGCGCTATTCCTACGTGGAACATTCCGGAACACACCATTAATTGAGGTTAATTGATGATAAATGAGTGTAAATTGACGTTAGTTGCTGATTTTTCCCCAGGATGAGGACGGGGAGGAGTCCCTTTCGTTCGAGTTCCAGAAGCTGCGCTATTCCTACGTGGAACATTCCGGAGGGGGGCGTGGCTTCGTTCCGGTGGCGTTCCCGGTGGAGCGGCCCCTGCGGCACTTCCAGAACTGCCGGGGGTATCAGGAGGAGCGCGAGGTCCGAGCCGCCCGCAGGAAATACGGAGACAACAGGTGAGGGATCCCAACCTTCCCCCCACCACACATCCCTCACATCCCAAAAACACAAAAATCAGGGAGCAAAGTGGTGTAAATTTTAGGCCTGGGGTTTAAATTAAGGTTGGGAAGAGAAAGGAGAAAGGTTTGGAATAAAGATTGGGAAGAAAAAGGAGAAAGATTTGGAATAAATTGGAATAAAAATTGGGAAGAGAAAAGAAGATTTGGATGAGGAATGAAAATTGGGAAGAGAAAGAGAAGGTTTGGAATAAAGATTGGGAAGAGAAAGGAGGAAGATTTGGATGAGGAATAAAAATTGGGAAGGGAAAGGAGGAAGGTTTGGAATAAAGATTGGGAAGAGAAAGAAAGAAGATTTGGATGAGGAATAAAAATTGGGAAGAGAAAGGAGGAAGGTTTGGATGAGGAATAAAGATTGGGAAGAGAAAGGAGGAAGGTTTGGAATAAAGATTGGGAAGAGAAAGGAAGAAGGTTTGGATGAGGAATAAAGATTGGGAAGGGGGAGGAATAAAATTGGGAAGGGGAAGGAGGAAGATTTGGATGAGGAATGAAAATTGGGAAGAGAAAGAAAAAGATTTGGAATAAAGATTGGGAAGAGAAAAGATTTGGATGAGGAATAAAGATTGGGAAGAGAAGGGAAAAAGGTTTGGATGAGGAATAAAAATTGGGAAGAGAAAGGAGGAAGGTTTGGAATAAAGATTGGGAAGAGAAAGGAGGAAGATTTGGATGAGGAATAAAAATTGGGAAGAGAAAGGAGGAAGGTTTGGAGTAAAGGTTGGGAAGAGAAAGGAAAAAGGTTTGGATGAGGAATAAAAATTGGGAAGAAAAAGGAGGAAGATTTGGAATAAAGATTGGGAAGAGAAAGGAAAAAGATTTGGATGAGGAATAAAGATTGGGAAGAGAAAGGAGGAAGGTTTGGAATAAAGATTGGGAAGAGAAAGGAAGAAGGTTTGGATGAGGAATAAAATTGGGAAGGGGGAGGAATAAAATTGGGAATATAGATTGGGAAGAGAAAGGAAAATTGGGAAGAGAAAGGAATAAAATTGGGAAGGAATAAAATTGGGAAGAGGAAGGAAAAAGATTGGGAATAGGGAGGAATAAAATTTGGGAAGAGAGGAATAAATTTGGGAATATAGATTGGGAAGAGGAAGGAATAAAATTGGGAAGGAAAGGAATAAAGTTGGGAAGAGGAAGGAAAATTGGGAAGAGGAAGGAAAGCTAGGAATACAAAGAAAAATTGGGAAGAGAAGAATTGGGAAGAGGAAGGAAAAAGGATTGGGAAGAGAAAGGAATAAAATTGGGAAGAGAAAGGAATAAAATTGGGAAAGGGAAGGAATAAAATTAGGAAGGAATAAAATTGGGAAGAGAAAGGAATAAAATTGGGAAGAGGAAGGAATAAAATTGGGACGAGAGAGGAATAAATTTGGGAATATAGATTGGGAAGGGGAAGGAATAAAATTGGGAAGGGGAAGGAATAAAATTGGGAAAGGGAAGGAATAAAATTGGGAAGAAGAAGGAAAATTGGGAAGAGGAAGGAATAAAATTGGGAAGGGGAAGGAAAATTGGGAAGTGAAGAAGGAAAATTGGGAAGAGGAAGGAAAAAGGATTGGGAAGAGGAAAGAAAATTGGGAAGTGGAAGGAAAACTGGGAATAGAAAGGAAAATTGGGAATAGAAAGGAAAATTGGGAATAGAAAGGAAAATTGGGAATAGAAAGGAAAATTTGGAAGAGAAAGGAATAAAATTGGGAAGGGAAGGAATAAAATTGGGAAGAGGAAGGAATAAAATTGGGAATAGAAAGGAAAATTGGGAATAGAAAGGAAAGTTTGGAATAGAAAGGAAAATTGGGAATAGGGAGGAACAAACTCCAAGCAATTCAAAACCCCAGGAGATTTTTCCCTCTGGAAAAGTCATTTGTTGGGGTTTTTTGGGATGGGATCTCCCTGAAAATTCCTGCTTTTTTTTTTCCATTCCTTTCCCAGGGCCGAGATGGTGGTGCCAGAATTCCTGGAATTGTTCAAGGAAAGAGCCACAGCTCCTTTCTTCGTTTTCCAGGTAAAAAAAACCCCAAAAACTGGGAAAAAAGAGGGGAAAATTCCCACAATTCCCACTGGGAAATCCCGGGATTTACACATGGAGGGCTGGGAAGATTCCAGGTGTTTTTGGGAGGGAATTTTTCCTCCTTTTCCAACTTTTTGGGAATTCCAGATTTAAATTCATGGAATAAAACATTAAAAATCCTTAAAAATCCCTGGAAATTCCTGGAATTTTTGGAATTCTGGGCTGGATTGGGCTCATTCCTCTCCTTCCAGGTGTTTTTGGGAGGGAATTTTTCCTCCTTTTCCAACTTTTTGGAATTTCACATTTAAATTCATGGAATAAAAGAAGATAATTCTTTAAAAATCCCTGGAAATTCCTGGAAATTCCTGGAATTTTGGGAATTCTGGGCTGGATTGGGCTCATTCCTCTCCTTCCAGGTGTTTTTGGGAGGGAATTTTTCCTCCTTTTCCAACTTTTTGGAATTCCAGATTTAAATTCATGGAATAAAACATTCAAAATCCTTAAAATTCCCATTCAAATTTTGGAAATCCCTGGAATTTTGGGAATTCTGGGCTGGATTGGGCTCATTCCTCTCCTTCCAGGTGTTTTTGGGAGGGAATTTTTCCTCCTTTTCCAACTTTTTGGGATTCCAGGTTTAAATTCATGGAATAAAAGAAGATAATTCTTTAAAAATCCCTGGAAATCCCTGGAAATTCCTGGAATTTTGGGAATTCTGGGCTGGATTGGGCTCATTCCTCTCCTTCCAGGTGTTTTTGGGAGGGAATTTTTCCTCCTTTTCCAACTTTTGGGAATTCCAGATTTAAATTCATGGAATAAAAGAAGATAATTCTTTAAAATTCCCATTCAAATTTTGAGAAATCCCTGGAATTTTGGGAATTCTGGGCTGGATTGGGCTCATTCCTGTCCCTCCAGGTGTTTTTGGAAAGGAATTTTTCTTCCTTTTTCCAACTTTTGGGAATTCCAGATTGAAATTCATGGAATAAAACATTAAAAATCCTTAAAAATCCCTGGAAATCCTGGGTATTTTGGGAATTCTGGCTTGGATTGGGCTCATTCCTCTCCTTCCAGGTGTTTTTGGGAGGAATTTTTCCTCCTTTTCCAACTTTTTGGAATTCCAGATTGAAATTCATGGAATAAAAAATTCAAAATCCTTAAAAATCCCTGGAAATCCCTGGAATTTTGGGAATTCTGGGCTGGATTGGGCTCATTCCTGTCCTTCCAGGTGTTTTTGGGGGGGAATTTTTCCTCCTTTTCCGACTTTTTGGAATTCCAGATGTAAATTCATTGAATAAAACATTCAAAATCCTTAAAAATCCTTAAAAATCCCTGGAAATTCTGGGTATTTTGGGAATTCTGGCTTGGATTGGGCTCATTCCTCTCCTTCCAGGTGTTTCTGGGAGGGAATTTTTCCTGCTTTTCTGACTTCTTGGAGTGAAATACTCCAATTATCCCAATTAAACCCCCACAAATCCCAGATATTTGGAATTTTTTGGGGATTCCAAAGGAATTTAGGGAATGTTTTCCAGGTTTTTCTGTGTGTGGGGACAACTCCTGACCCCCCTCAGGTGTTTTTGGGAGGGAGAATTTTCTTGCTTTTCTGACTTCTGGGAGCGAAATACTCAAATTATCCCAACCAAACCCCCCCAAATCCCATTTTTTTTGGAATTTTGGGGATTCCAGAGGAATTTAGGGAATATTTTCCAGGTGTTCTGCATGGGGCTTGTGGTGTGGGGACAACTCCTGTGTCCCCTCAAGGAGCCATCTCTGACTCTTTGTAGCGAAATATTCAAATTATCCCAAAAATACCAAAACAAATCCCAACCAAACCCCCTAAAATCCCAGATTTTTGGCAATTTTGGGGATTCCAAAAGAATTTAGGGAATGTTTTCCAGGTTTTTCTGTGTGTGGGGACAACTCCTGACCCCCTTCAAGGAGCCATTTCTGTGACTCTTTGTAGCGAAATATTGGAATTATCTCCACCAAACCCCCCCGAATCCCAACCAAACCCCCCCAAATCCCAGATTTTTTGAATTTTTGGGACTTTTTGGGAATTCTGGGAACATTTTTCCAGGTGTTCTGCGTGGGCCTGTGATTTGGGGACAACTCCTGTGTCCCCTCAAGGAGCCATTTCTGACTCTTTATGACAAAACACTCAAACTATCTCAACCAAACCCCCCCAAATCCCATTGTTTTTGAATTTTTGGGACTTTTTGGGAATCCTGGGGACTTTTTTAGGAATCCTGGGACTGTTTTCCAGGTGTTCTGCGTGCATTTGTGATTTGGGGACAACTCCTGACCCCCCTCTCGGGGAGCCATTTCTGACTCTCTATAACAAAATACTCCAATTATCCCAACCAAACCCCCCCAAATCCCAACCAAACCCCCCCAGATTCCATTTTTTTTTTGAATTTTTGGGATTTTTGGGAATCCTGGGAATGTTTTCCAGGTTTCTTTGCGTGCATTTGTGATGTGGGGACAACTCCTGACCCCTCTCAAGGAGCCGTTTCTGACTCTTTGTAGCGAAATATTGGAATTATCTCAACCCAAATCCCTTTTTTTTTGAATTTTTGGGACTTTTTGGGAATTCTGGGTACTTTTTGAGGAATTCTGGGAATGTTTTCCAGGTTTTTTTGCGTGCATTTGTGATTTGGGGACAACTCCTGACCCCCCTCAGGGGGATTTCTGTGACTCCTGGGAACAAAATACTTGAATTATCTCAACCCAACCCCCCCAAATCCCATTTTTTTTTGAATTTTTGGGATTTTTTGGCAATTTTGGGGATTCCAGAGGAATTTAGGGACTGTTTTTCCAGGTATTCTGTGTGGGGCTTGTGGTGTGGGGGCAACTCCTGACCCCCCTCGGGGGGGGATTTCTGTGACTCTTTGTAGCGAAATATTGGAATTACCCCAACCAAACCCCCCCAAATCCCAGATTTTAGAATTTTTTGGGATTTCTGAAGAATTTAGGGAATTTTTTCCATGTTTTTCTGTGTGTGGGGACAACTCCTGACCCCCCTCAGGTGTTTTTGGGAGGGAGAATTTTCGGATTTTCCCACTTTCCTGGAATGAAGTATTCAAATTATCCCAACCAAACCCCCCCGAATCCCAACCAAACCCCCCCAAATCCCATTTTTTTTGAATTCTGGGGATTCCAGAGGAATTTAGGGACTATTTTCCAGGTGTTCTGCGTGTGTCTGTGGTGCCTGGACGAGTACTGGTACCATCCTCGGGTGTTTTTGGGAGGGAGAATTTTCCTGCTTTTTTGACTTCTGGGAGTGAAATAGTCCCAATTTTCTTGACCAAACCCCCCCAAATCCCAAATTTTAGAATTTTAAGAGATTCCAAAGGAATTTAGGGAATGTTTTCTGGGTTTTTCTGTGTGTGGGGACAACTCCTGACCCCCCTCGGGTGTTTTTGGGAGGGAGAATTTTTGGATTTTCCCACTTTCCTGGAATGAAATATTCAAATTATCCCAACCAAACCCCCCGAAATCCCATTTTTTTGAATTTTTGGGATTCCAGAGGAATTTAGGGAACATTTTTGCAGGTTTTTTTGTGTGCATTTGTGACGTGGGGGCAACTCCTGACCCCCCTCAGGGGTGGGATTTCTGTGACTCCTGGGAACAAAATACTTGAATTATCTCAACCCAACCCCCCCAAATCCCATTTTTTCTGAATTTTTGGGATTTTTGGGAATGTTTTCCAGGTGTTCTGCGTGTGCCTGTGGTGCCTGGACGAGTACTGGTACTACAGCGTCTTCACGCTGTCGATGCTGGTGGCCTTCGAGGCGTCGCTGGTGCAGCAGCAGCTGCGGAACATGGCCGAGATCCGCAGGATGGGCAACAAACCCTACATGATCCAGGTAAATCCCGGGAATTCTGAGGGAATTCTCAGCCTTTCCCACGTTTTTGGGGTGATTTAAGGTGTTTTTGGGGTGTTTTTGGGGTGTTTTTCAGGTGTACAGGAACAGGAAGTGGCGGCCGATTTGCAGCGATGAGATCGTGCCCGGAGACGTCGTGTCCATCGGTGGGGGGGGAATTTGGGGATTTTGGGGGGAATTCCCGGGTTTTTTAGGGAATTTTTAGAAAGGGGGTTGGGGTGGGGGGTTTGGGGGATTTGGGGATTGGGGGTTGTGGTGGTTTGGGGTGGTTTTGGGGGTGATTTGGGGGGATTTTGGGGGCCTTTGGGGTGGTTTTGATGCTGATTTTGGGGTGTTTTTGGGAGGGCTTGGGGTGATTTGGGCTTGATTTAGGGTGGTTTTGATGCTCATTTTGGGGTGATTTGGGTGGGTTTTGGGTGGTTTTGGGGGTGATTTGGGCTGGTTTTGATGCTGATTTTGGGGCTAATTTGAGGTGTTTTTGGGGGGCGATTGGGGCGATTTGGGCTGATTTGGGGGGATTTGGGGTGGTTTTGGGGTGATTTGGGGGTTTTGGGTTAGTTTGGGGTGGTTTGGGGGTTTGGGGTGTTTTTGGGTGTTTTTGAGGTGGTTTTGGGGAATTTGGCGGGTTTTGGGGTGATTTGGGGGGGTTTTGGGGGTGATTTGGGTGGTTTTGGGGCTGATTCGGGGTGGTTTTGATGCTGATTTTGGGGTGATTTGGGGATGGTTTGGGGCTAATTTAGGGTGTTTTTGGGTGGGTTTTGGGGTGATTTGGGGGGTTTTTGGGGTGTTTTTGGGGCTAATTTGGGGGGGTTTTGGGGGACAGGTTTTAGGGTGGTTTTGGGGTGATTTGGGGATGGTTTGGGGCTAATTTAGGGTGTTTTTGGGTGGGTTTTGGGGTGATTTGGGGCGGCTTTTGGGGTGTTTTGGGGCTAATTTGGGGTGTTTTGGGGGACAGGTTTTGAGGGTGGTTTGGGGTGATTTGGGGATGGTTTAAGGTAATCTGGGGTGTTTTGGGGGATTTTGGGGTGGCTTGGGGATTTGGGGGTGATTTGGGGTGTTTTGAGGTGTTTTGTGGTGGTTTTGGGTTGTGTTTTGGGTGGTTTTGGGGCTGATTTGGGGGGTTTTGGGGGTTTTGGGGTGGTTTTTGGGGGCTTTTGAGGTGATTTGGGGTTTTGGGGGGTTTTGGGGGTTTGGGGCTGATTTGAGGGATTGGGGGTTAGGGTGTTTTGGGGATGATTTGGGGGGTTTTGGGGTGATTTGGATGGTTTTGGGGGTTTTGGGGGTTTTGAGCTGATTTGGGGTTTCGGGGAGGCTTTTGGGGGTGGTTTTGGAGGTATTTTTGGGGTGATTTGGGTGTGTTTTTGGTGGATTTGGGGGTGGTTTTGGGGATTGGTTTAGGGCATTTGGGGGGTTTGGTGGGGATTTGGGGCCTGGATTTGGGGTGTTTTGGGGTGGTTTTGGGGGATTTGGGGCTGGTTTGAGGGGATTTGGGGGGTTTGTGGGGTTTTTGGGGAGGTTTGGAGTGATTTGGGGTGGTTTTGGGGGGGTTTGGGGTGGTTTGGGGTGTTTTGGGGCTAATTTGGGGTGTTTTGGGGTTTGGGGTGATTTGGGGATTTTTGGGGGGATTTGGGTGGTTTTGGGGGCTGATTTGGGGGATTGGGGATTTGGGGTGGTTTGGGGAATTTGGTGGGTTTGGGGGTTATTTGGGGGTTTGGGGTTGATTTAGGGCTGGTTCTGATGCTGATTTTGGGGCTGATTTGGGGTGGTTTTGGGGGGTTGGGGTGATTTAGGGTTTAGGGTGATTTGGGGTGGTTTTGGGGGTTTTTGGGGGGGGGTTGGGGGATATTTTTGGGGCTGATTTGGGGTGTTTTTTGGGCTGATCTGGGGCCCGATTTGGGGTGGTTTTGATGCTGATTTTGGGGCCGATTTGGGGTGGTTTTTGAGCTATTTTGGGGCGTTTTTTGGGCTGAATTGGGGTGTTTTTGGGGCTCAATTTGGGCTGTTTTTGATGCTGATTTTGGGGCTGATTTGGGGTGTTTTTTGAGCTATTTTGGGGTGTTTTTTGTGCTGAATTAGGGTGGTTTTGGGGCTCAATTTGGGCTGTTTTTGACGCTGATTTTGGGGTCGATTTGGGGTGTTTTGGGGGTCTGATCTGGGGTGTTTTTTGGGCCAATTTGAGGTGTTTTTTGGGCTGAATTTGGGTATTTTGAGGGCATTTTTTGGGCCTGTTTGGGGTGTTTTTGGGGCCGATTTGGGGTGTTTTTGGGGCAGATTTGTGGTGGTTTTTTGTGCTGATTTGGGGTGTTTTTTGTGCTGATTTGGGGTGTTTTTTGGGGCTGAATTGGGGTGTTTTGGGGGCATTTTTTGGGCTGTTTTGGGGTGTTTTGGGGGCTCAATTTGGACTGTTTTTGACTCTGATTTTGGGGCTGATTTGGAGTGTTTTTGGGGACCAATTTGGGGTGGTTTTGATGCTGATTTTGGGCCCGATTTGGGGTGTTTTTGATGCTGATTTTGGGGCTGATTTGGGGTGTTTTTTGAGCTATTTTGGGCTGTTTTTGATGCTAATTTTGGGGCCGATTTGGGGTGTTTTTTGAGCTATTTTGGGGTGTTTTTTGGGCTGATTTGGGGTGTTTTTGGGGCAGGCCGTTCCCCCCAGGACAACCTGGTGCCGTGTGACGTTCTGCTGTCAATTTGGGCTGTTTTTGACGCTGATTTTGGGGCCGCTCTGGGGTGTTTTTTGGGCTATTTTGGGGTGTTTTTTGGGCTGATTTGGGGTGTTTTTGGGGCTGATTTGGGCTGGTTTTGATGCTGATTTTGGGTGTTTTTGGGGACCAATTTGGGGTGGTTTTGACGCTGATTTTGGGGCCGATCTGGGGTGTTTTTGGGGCTCAATTTGGGCTGTTTTTGACCCTGATTTTGGGGCCGATTTGGGGTGTTTTGGGGACATTTTTTGTGCTGATTTTGGGTGTTTATGGGGCCGATTTGGGCTGTTTTTGACGCTGATTTTGGGGCCGATTTGGGGTGTTTTGGGGGCATTTTTTGGGCTGAATTTGGGTGTTTTTGGGGCCCGATTTGGGGTGTTTTTTGAGCTATTTTGGGGTGTTTTTTGGGCTGATTTGGGGTGTTTTTGGGGCAGGCCATTCCCCCCAGGACAACCTGGTGCCGTGTGACGTTCTGCTGTCAATTTGGGCTGTTTTTGACGCTGATTTGGGGCATTTTTTGGGCTGATTTTGGGTGTTTTTGGGGCAGGCCGTTCCCCCCAGGATAATCTGGTGCCATGTGACGTTCTGCTGTCAATTTGGGCTGTTTTTGACGCTGAATTGGGGTGTTTATGGGGCCGATTTGGGCTGTTTTTGACGCTGATTTGGGGTGTTTTTTGGGCTGATTTTGGGTGTTTTTGGGCAGGCCGTTCCCCCCAGGACAACCTGGTGCCATGTGATGTTCTGCTGCTGCGCGGCCGCTGCATCGTGGACGAGGCCATGCTCACCGGGGAGTCCGTGCCGCAGATGAAGGTGGGGCAAAAACGGGCCAAAAACCGGCAAAAACGGGCAAAAACAACATCTGTCAGGGAAAGGAGTCAAAAATCAGGGAAAATTTGTCAGGGAAAAGAGTGAAAAATCAGGGAAAACAGGGGAAATTTGTCAGGGAAAAGAGTGAAAAATCAGGGAAAAAAGACAAAAATTGTCAGGAGAAAGAGTGAAAAATCAGGGGAAAAAAGACAAAAATCAGGGAAAAGAGACAAAAATCAGGGAAAAGAGTCAAGGTTTGTCAGGGAAAAAAATAAAAAATCAGGGAAAAAAGACAAAAATTAGGGAAAACAGTCAAGGTTTGTCAGGGAAAAGAGACAAAAAATCAGGGAAAAGAGTCAAGAGTTTGTCAGGGAAAAGAGTGAAAAACCAGGGGAAAAAGACAAAAATCAGGAAAAGAGTGAAAAATTGGGGAAATCGCCCCATTCTTTTCTTCCCCAGCCCGGCACATTCCCGTTATCCCAAGGCTGATCCCAAGGCTGATCCCAACCCCATCCCAAAGCTGATCCCGAGGTTTATTCCCTGTTTTCTAGGAGCCTGTGGAGGACATGAGCCCAAAGCTGATTCCAAACTCCTCCCAAAGCTGATCCCAACCCCATCCCAATGATGTCATTCCCTGTTTTCCAGGAGCCAGTGGAGGACACGAGCCCAAACTGATCCCAAACTCCTCCCAAAGCTGATCCCAACCCCATCCCAAAGCTGATCCCGAGGTTTATTCCCTATTTTCCAGGAGCCAGTGGAGGAGGCAAACCCAAAACTGATCCCAAACTCTTCCCAAAGCTGATCCCAACCCCAATCCCAAGGATATATTCCCTATTTTCCAGGAGCCAGTGGAGGACACGAGCCCAGAGCTGATCCCAAACCCTTCCCAAGGCTGATCCCAAGGATATATTCCCTGTTTTCCAGGAGCCAGTGAAGGAGGCGAGCCCAAAGCTGCTCCCAAACTCCTCCCAAAGCTGATCCCAACCCTATCCCAACCCCAATCCCGAGGTTTATTCCGTGTTTTCCAGGAGCCAGTGGAGGAGGCGAGCCCGGATCACGTCCCAGAGCTGCTCCTAAGGCTGATCCCAAGGCTGATTCCCTATTTTCCAGGAGCCGGTGAAGGACACGAGCCCAAAGTTGATCCCAAACCCTTCCCAAGGGCAATTCCATGATGTCATTCCCTATTTTCCAGGAGCCAGTGGAGGAGGCGAGCCCAGATCACATCCTAACCCCATCCCAAACCTGATCCCAAAGCTGATCCCAAGGATATATTCCATGTTTTCCAGGAGCCAGTGGAGGAGGCGAGCCCGGATCACGTCCCAGAGCTGCTCCTAAGGCTGATCCCAAGGCTGATTCCCTGTTTTCCAGGAGCCGGTGGAGGAGGCGAGCCCGGATCACGTGCTGGACGTGGAGGGGGACGCTCGCCTGCACGTGGTGTTCGGGGGCACGCGGGTGGTGCAGCACATCCCGCCCCACAGGGCCACCCACGGCCTCAAACGTGAGCATTCCCACATTCCCCACGGGAATTCTGACCCCCCACCCTCGGGAATGATGATTCCCAAAGGGAATTCCCACTGGGGGCTCTCTGGGGGGGGTGGTAATTAATGGGTTTGTTAATTCCCGTTCCCATTCCTGTTCCCACTCCTGCTCTGTTCCCCTTCCCATTCCTGTTCCCATTCCTGTTCCCCTTCCTGTTCCCATTCCCCTTCCATTCCCATTCTCTTCCCATTCCCTTTCCCATTCCCCTTCCCATTCTCGTTCCCATTCCTGTTCTGTTCCCATTCCTGTTCCCATTCCTGTTCTGTTCCCATTCCCGTTCCCATTCCCGTTCTGTTCCCATTCCCATTCCCCTTCCCATTCCCTTCCCATTCCCTTCCCATTCTCCTTCCCATTCTCCTTCCCATTCTCCTTCCCATTCCCCTTCCCCTTCCCATTCCCCTTCCCATTCCCCTTCCCATTCCCCTTCCCATTCTCATTCCCATTCCTGTTCCTGTTCCCTTCCCATTCCCTTCCCATTCCCTTCCCCTTCCCCTTCCCCTTCCCATCCCTTCCCTGCCTTCCCATTCCCATTCCCTTCGCTTCCCATTCCCTCCCATTGTCGGTTCCCATTCATTCCCATTCCCATTCCCATTGTAATTCCCGTTCCCATTCCCATTCCAGCGGTGGATAACGGGTGCGTGGCGTACGCGCTGCGGACGGGATTCAACACCTCCCAGGTGAGCTCCACTTCCGGAATTCCCGGTGTTCCCCTCCCACCCCACGCGGGAATCACGGGAAAAGGTTGGGAAGAGGAAGGAAAAAGTTGGGAAGAGGAAGGAAAAAGTTGGGAAGAGGAAGGAAAAGGTTGGGAAGAGGAAGGAAAAGGTTGGGATGAGGAAGGAAAAGGTTGAGAAGAAGGAATAAGGTTGGAAATAGAAATAAAGTTGGGAATAGGAATAAAGTTGGGAAGAGGAAGGAATAAAGTTGGGAATAGGAATAAGGTTGGGAATAGGAATAAAGTTGGGAAGAGGAAGGAATAAAGTTGGGAAGAGGAAGGAGGAAAATTGGGAAGAGGAAGGAGGAAAATTGGGAAGAGGAAGGAGGAAAGTTGGGAAGAGGAAGAGATAAGGATGGGAATAGGAATAAAGCTGGGAAGAGGATGAAGGGAAGTTGGGAAGAGGAAGGAATAAAGTTGGGAAGAGGAGTAAAGTTGGGAATAGGAATAAAGTTGGGAAGAGGAAGGAATAAAGTTGGGAAGAGGAAGGAGGAAAATTGGGAAGAGGAAGGAGGAAAGTTGGGAAGAGGAAGAAATAAGGATGGGAATAGGAATAAAGCTGGGAAGAGGATGAAGGGAAGTTGGGAAGAGGAAGGAATAAAGCTGGGAATAGGAATAAAGTTGGGAAGAGGAATAAAGTTGGGAAGAGGAATAAAGTTGGGAAGAGGAATAAAGTTGGAAAGAGGAAGGAGGGGAGTTGGGAATAGGAATAAAGTTGGGAAGAGGAAGGAGGGAAGTTGGGAATAAGAATAAAGTTGGGAAGAGGAAGGAATAAGGTTGGGAAGAGGAATAAAGTTGGGAAGAGGAATAAAGTTGGGAAGAGGAAGGAGGGAAGTTGGGAAGAAAAATAAGGTTGGAAATAAGAATAAAGTTGGGAATAAGAATAAAGTTGGGAAGAGGAAGGAGGGAAGTTGGGAATAAGAATAAAGCTGGGAAGAGGAAGGAATAAAGTTGGGAAGAGGAATAAAGTTGAGAAGAGGACGAAGGGAAGTTGGGAAGAGGAATAAACTTGGAAATAGGAATAAAGGTGGGAATAGGAAGAAATAAAGTTGGGAAGAGGAAGGAATAAAGCTGGGAAGAGGAAGGAATAAAGTTGGAAATAAGAATAAAGTTGGGAATAAGAATAAAGCTGGGAAGAGGAAGGAATAAAGTTGGGAAAAGGAATAAAGTTGGGAAGAGGAGTAAAGTTGGGAATAGGAATAAAGTTGGGAAGAGGAAGGAATAAAGTTGGGAAGAGGAATAAAGTTGGGAATAGGAAGGAATAAAGTTGGGAAGAGGAATAAGGGAAGTTGGGAATAGGAATAAAGCTGGGAATAAGAATAAAGTTGGGAAGAGGAAGGAATAAAGTTGGGAAGAGGAATAAAGTTGGGAAGAGGAAGGAGAGAAGTTGGGAAGAGGAAGGAATAAAGTTGGGAAGAGGAAGGAATAAAGTTGGGAAGAGGAAGGAATGAGGTTGGGAATAGAAATAAAGTTGGGAATAGGAATAAAGTTGGGAATAGGAATAAGGTTGGGAAGGGGAAGGAATAAGGTTGGGAATAGGAATGAAGTTGGGAATAAGAATAAAGTTGGGAAGAGAAAGGAATGAGGTTGGGAAGAGGAATAAGGTTGGGAATAGGAATAAAGCTGGGAATAGGAATAAAGTTGGGAAGAGGAAGGAGGAAAGTTGGGAAGAGGAAGGAAAAAGGTTGGGATGAGGAAGGAATGAGGTTGGGAAGAGGAATAAGGAGGGAAGAGGAAGAAAGAAGGTTTGGAAGAGGAAGGAATAAAGTTGGGAAGAGGAATAAAGCTGGGAATAGGAATAAAGTTGGGAAGAGGAAGGAATAAGGTTGGGAATAGGAATAAAGCTGGGAATAGGAATAAAGTTGGGAATAAGAATAAAGTTGGGAAGAGGAAGGAATGAGGTTGGGAATAGGAATAAGGTTGGGAACAGGAATAAAGTTAGAAATAGAAATAAAGTTGGGAATAGGAAGGAATAAAGTTGGGAATAAGAATAAAGTTGGGAATAGGAATAAAACTGGGAAGAGGAAGGAAGGAAGTTGGGAATAGGAATAAAACTGGGAATAGGAATAAAGCTGGGAAGAGAAGTAGGGAAGTTGGGAACCCCCGATCACCACCAATCCCCCCGAGCTGTTTCCGAGGGATCCCTTGGAATTCCTGAGGGATCCCTTGGAATTCCCGAGGGATCCCTTGGAATTCCGGTGGGATTCCCTGGAATTCCTGTGTGTTGTGATTCCCAGGGGAAGCTGCTGCGTACGATCCTGTTCGGGGTGCAGCGGGTGACGGCCAACAACCTGGAGACCTTCATCTTCATCCTCTTCCTCCTCGTCTTCGCCGTCGCCGCCGCCGCCTACGTCTGGATCCAGGGTGGGCACGCGGCGGGAAGCAACCGGGAATCAACCGGGAATCAACTGGGAAGGGGGTGGGAATGAGCTGGGAATCAACTGGGAATGGAGTGGGAATGAGCCAGGAATGGGGTGGGAAGGAGCTGGGAATGGGGTGGGAAGGAGGTGGGAATGGAGTGGGAATCAGGTGGGAGGGACCGGGAATAGGGTGGGAATCAACTGGGAATGATGGGGTGGAAATGGGGTGGGAGGGACCAGGAATGGGGTTGGAAGGAGGTGGGAATGGGGTGGGAATGATGGGGTGGGAATGGGGTGAATGAGCCGGGAATGGGGGGAGAATAAGCTGGGAATGGGGTGGGAATGGAGTGGGAATCAACTGGGAATGGGGTGGGAATGAGCCAGGAATGGGGTGAGAATAAGCTGGGAATGGGGTGGGAAGGAGGTGGGAATCAACTGGGAATGGGGTGGGGAATGAGCTGGGAATCAACTGGGAATGGGGTGGGAATGAGCCAGGAATGGGGGGAGAATGAGCTGGGAATGGGGTGGGAAGGAGGTGGGAATCAACTGGGAATGGGGTGGGGAATGAGCTGGGGATCAACTGGGAATGGGGTGGGAAGGAACTGGGAATGGGGTGGGAATCAACTGGGAATGGGGTGGGGATGAACTGGGAATGGGGTGGGAATGAAGTGGGAATCAACTGGGAATGGGGTGGGAATGGGGTGGGGATCAACTGGGAATGGGGTGGGAATGAGCCAGGAATGGGGTGGGAATCAACTGGGAATGGGGTGGGAATCAACTGGGAATGGGGTGGGATGAACTGGGAATGGGGTGGGAATGAAGTGGGAATCAACTGGGAATGGGGTGGGAAATGGGGTGGGGATCAACTGGGAATGGGGTGGGAATGAGCCAGGAATGGGGTGGGAATCAACTGGGAATGGGGTGGGAATCAACTGGGAATGGGGTGGGATGAACTGGGAATGGGGGTGGGAATGAAGTGGGAATCAACTGGGAATGGGGTGGGAATGGAGTGGGAATGATTTGGGAATGGGGTGGGAATGATGGGGTGGGAATGGGGTGGGAATGAGCCAGGAATGGGGGGAGAATAAGCCGGGAATGGGGGGAGAATGAGCTGGGAATGGGGTGGGAATGATTTGGGAATGGGGTGGTTTTGGGGCTGATTTGGGGTGGTTTTGACGCTGATTTTGGGGCCAATTTGGGATATTTTTTGGGCCAATCTGGGATGTTTTTTGGGACCAATCTGGGATGTTTTTTGGGCCAATCTGGGATATTTTTTGGGGCCGATCCAGGCTGTTTCTTTGTGTTCCCCCCTTTTCCTGTGAAGATCCCGTTTTCCCGAGTCCAGCCGCTGTTGTTTTTCTCCCCCCCTCAGGCACGAAGGATCCGAGGCGGAACCAGTACCGGCTGTTCCTGGAGTGTGCCCTGATCCTGACGTCGGTGGTGCCCCCGGAGCTGCCCATCGAGCTCTCCTTGGCCGTCAACACCTCCCTCATCGCCCTCTCCAAGCTCTGTGCGTGAACGCGCGGGATTCCGCAGGGAATTACACGGGGAATGACGCAGGGAATTACGCGGGGAATGGAGAGGGAATTACACAGGGAATTCTACAGGAAATGGAGAGGGAATTCCACAGGGAATGGAGAGGGAATGGAGGGGGAATTTTACAGGGAGTTCCACAGGGAACGTAGGGAATTCTGCAGGGAATTCCACAGGGAATGGAGAGGGAATTCCACAGGGAATTCTACAGGAAATGGAGAGGGAATTCCAGAGGGAATGGAGAGGGAATTCCCAAGGGAATGGAGAGGGAGTTCCACAGGGAATGGAGAGGGAAACCAGTACCGGCTGTTCCTGGAGTGTGCCCTGATCCTGACGTCGGTGGTGCCCCCGGAGCTGCCCATCGAGCTCTCCTTGGCCGTCAACACCTCCCTCATCGCCCTCGCCAAGCTCTGTGCGTCACCACACGGGGACCCCAAAGGGAATTACACGGGGAATTACAAAGGGAATGGAGAGGGAATTTTACAGGGAATTCCACAGGGAACGTAGGGAATGGAGAGGGAATTTTACAGGGGATTCCAGAGGGAATTACACAGGGAATTACAAAGGGAATTACGCAGGGAATTACACAGGGAATTACGCAGGGAATGGAGGGGGAATTCTGCAGGGAATGGAGGGGGAATTCCACAGGGAATGGAGAGGGAATTCCACAGGGAATGGAGAGGGAATTCCACAGGGAACGGAGAGGGAATTCCACAGGGAATTCCACAGGGAATGGAGGGGGAATTCCACAGGGAATTCCAGAGGGAATGGAGGGAATTACGCAGGGAATGGAGAGGGAATTCTACAGGGAATGGAGAGGGAATTCCCAAGGGAATGGAGAGGGAATTCTAGAGGGAATGGAGAGGGAATTCCCAAGGGAATGGAGAGGGAATTCCAGAGGGAATGGAGAGGGAAACCAGTACCGGCTGTTCCTGGAGTGTGCCCTGATCCTGACGTCGGTGGTGCCCCCGGAGCTGCCCATCGAGCTCTCCTTGGCCGTCAACACCTCCCTCATCGCCCTCGCCAAGCTCTGTGCGTCACCACACGGGGATCCCAAAGGGAATTACACGGGGGATTACACAGGGAATTACGCAGGGAATGACACAGGGAATTACACAGGGAATGACGCAGGGAGTGGAGGGGGAATTCCACAGGGAATGGAGAGGGAATTACGCAGAGAATTACACAGGGAATTACCCAGGGAGTGGAGGGGGAATTCCACAGGGAGTGGAGGGGGAATTCCACAGGGAATTCCACAGGGAATTCCACAGGGAATGGAGGGGGAATTCCACAGGGAATTCCACAGGGAATTACGCAGGGAATTACACGGGGAATTACAAAGGGAATTACGCAGGGAGTGGGGGGAATTCCACAGGGAATTCCACAGGGAATGGAGAGGGAATTTTACAGGGGATTCCGCAGGGAATTACACAGGGAATTCCGCAGGGAATTACACAGGGAATGGAGGGAGTTCCACAGGGAATGGAGGGGGAATTCTGCAGGGAATGGAGGGGGAATTCTGCAGGGAGTGGGGAGGGAATTCCACAGGGAATGGGGGGAATGGCGCATGGAATTCCACAGGGAATTCCAGAGGGAACGGGGGGGAATTCTGCAGGGAATTCCACAGGGAGTGGGGGAAATTCCAAAGGGAATGGAGAGGGAATTCCACAGGGGATTCCAGAGGGAACGGAGAGGGAATTCCAGAGGGAATTCCACAGGGAATGGAGGGAATTCCAAAGGGAACGGAGAGGGAATTCCACAGGGAATTACGCACGGGATTCCACAGGGAACAGAGAGGGAATTCCACAGGGAATGGAGATGGAATTCCAGAGGGAACAGCCTGGGAGATGGATTCACAGGAGAATTCTGCGTTTTCCAGACGTTTCCTGCCCGGAGCTGTTCTGGATCCCCTTCCCACTCTCCCCATCCCTGTTTTTTTGGGGTGGGGGGTGGAGCTAAAATTCCCTGGGATTCCCAGGAGAATTCCTATTGAAATTCCCTCCAATTCCCACTGAAATTCCCCTTGGAATTCCATGTTTTCCCGGTTGTTTTGCAGACGTGTACTGCACGGAGCCGTTCCGGATCCCCTTCCCACTCTCTCCATCCCCCTTTTTTTGGGGAGTTGGGGCTGAAATTCCCTCCGATTCCCATTGGAATTCCCAGGCAAATTCCCAGGACAATTCCCCTTGTAATTCCCCCTGAAATTCCCATTGAAATTCCCGTTTTTCCCAGTGTTTTCCAGACATGTACTGCCCGGATTCATTCTGGATCCCCTTCCCTCTCTTCCCACTCTCCCCATCCCCTTGTTTTTTAGGGGGAGTGATGGAGCTAAAATTCCCTGGCATTCCCAGGCGAATTCCCAGGACAATTCCCCTTGTAATTCCCACCAGAATTCCCATTTTTCCTCGTGTTTTCCAGACTTTTCCTGCTGGGAACCATTCCAGATCCCCTTCCCTCTCTTCCCACTCTCCCCATCCCCTTTGGTTTTTGGGGAATTGGGACTGAAATTCCCTCCTATTCCCATTGGAATTCCCAGCAGCGTTCCCAGGCGAATTCCCATCAGAATTCCCCCTGAAATTCCCATTTTTCCGGTTGTTTTCCAGACGTGTACTGCACGGAGCCGTTCCGGATCCCGTTTGCGGGGAAGGTTCAGTTCTGCTGCTTCGACAAGACGGGCACCTTGACCAGCGACCACCTCGTGGTGCGCGGCGTGGCCGGCCTCAGGTGGGACCCCATCCAAGGGTTTTCCAGCTGGGAATTCCCTTGGGAAAAGCATCCTGGAAAAAGAGAGGGATTTGGGATCGGGGGAGGAGATTTGGGGAATTTTCGCGGGGGGTTTTGGGGGGTCGGGGATTGGTCCCTGAGGGACAATCTGCGCTTTCCATCCCAATTCCGGGATTCCCGGCGCTTGGAGAATCCCAAATCCTCGGGATCTGCTCCTAAATGGGCCGATTCCCCGAATTTCCCAGGGAGAACCACCCAAAATTCCCAGTTTTTTGTCAAAATTCCAGATTTAATTGGATTATTTTGGGTCTGACATCTTGCTCTTTTTAGGCCATTTCTGGGATTCCCAGTGCTTGGAGAATCCCAAATCCTCGGGATCTGCTCCTAAATGGGCCAATTCCCCAAATTTCCTGGGCAGAACCAGCCAAAATTCCCGGTTTTTGGTCCAAATTCCCAGTTTTTGGTCAAAATTCCAGATTTAATCGGATTATTTCAGGTCTGACATCTTGCTCTTTTTAGGCCATTTCTGGGATTCCCAGCACTTGGAGAATCCCAAATCCTCGGGATCTGCTCCTAAATGGGCCAATTCCCCAAATTTCCTCGGGAAAACCACCCAAAATTCCCAGTTTTTTACCAAAATTCCCATTTTTTTACCAAAATTCCACCTGTAATGGGATTATTTTGGGTGTGAGATCCTGCTCTTCCCAGGCCACTTCCAGGATTCCCAGTGCTTGGAGAATCCCAAATCCTCGGGATCTGCTCCTAAATGGGCCAATTCCCCAAATTTCCCGGGCAGAACCACCCAAAATTCCCAGTTTTTGTCCCAAATTCCACCTCTAATCGTGGATTTTCCCTGTGCATTCCCTAGGGAAGGGAAGGAGCTGATTCCCATGGATCTGTGTATTCCCTGGGGAAGGGAAGGAGCTGATTCCCATGGATCTGTGTATTCCATAGGGAAGGGAAGGAGCTGATTCCCATGGATCTGTGTATTCCCTAGGGAAGGGAAGGAGCTGATTCCCATGGATCTGTGTATTCCATAGGGAAGGGAAGGAGCTGATTCCCATGGATCTGTGTATTCCCTGGGGATGGGAAAGAGCTGATTCCCATGGATCTGTGTATTCCATAGGAAGGGAAGGAGCTGATTCCCATGGATCTGTATTCCCTAGGGAAGGGAAGGAGCTGATTCCCATGGATCTGTGTATTCCCTAGGGAAGGGAAGGAGCTGATTCCCATGGATCTGTGTATTCCTAGGGAAGGGAAGGAGCTGATTCCCATGGATCTGTGTATTCCCTAGGGAAGGGAAGGAGCTGATTCCCATGGATCTGTGTATTCCTGGGGAAGGGAAGGAGCTGATTCCCATGGATCTGTGTATTCCCTGGGAAGGGAAGGAGCTGATTCCCATGGATCTGTGTATTCCTGGGGAAGGGAAGGAGCTGATTCCCATGGATCTGTGTATTCCCTGGGAAGGGAAGGAGCTGATTCCCATGGATCTGTGTATTCCATAGGGAAGGGAAGGAGCTGATTCCCATGGATCTGTGTATTCCTAGGAGGGAAGGAGCTGATTCCCATGGATCTGTGTATTCCATAGGGATGGGAAGGAGCTGATTCCCATGGATCTGTGTATTCCATAGGGAAGGAGCTGATTCCCATGGATCTGTGTATTCCCTGGGGAAGGGAAGGAGCTGATTCCCATGGATCTGTGTATTCCCTGGGGAAGGGAAGGAGCTGATTCCCATGGATCTGTGTATTCCATAGGGAAGGAAGGAGCTGATTCCCATGGATCTGTGTATTCCCTGGGGAAGGAAGGAGCTGATTCCCATGGATCTGTGTATTCCATAGGGAAGGGAAGGAGCTGATTCCCATGGATCTGTGTATTCCATAGGGAAGGGAAGGAGCTGATTCCTATGGATCTGTGTATTCCCTGGGAAGGGAAGGAGCTGATTCCCATGGATCTGTGTATTCCATAGGGAAGGGAAGGAGCTGATTCCCATGGATCTGTGTATTCCATAGGGAAGGGAAGGAGCTGATTCCCATGGATCTGTGTATTCCTAGGGAAGGGAAGGAGCTGATTCCCATGGATCTGTGTATTCCTAGGGAAGGGAAGGAGCTGATTCCCATGGATCTGTGTATTCCCTAGGGAAGGGAAGGAGCTGATTCCCATGGATCTGTGTATTCCATAGGGAAGGGAAGGAGCTGATTCCCATGGATCTGTGTATTCCATAGGGAAGGGAAGGAGCTGATTCCCATGGATCTGTGTATTCCATAGGGAAGGGAAGGAGCTGATTCCCATGGATCTGTGTATTCCATAGGGAAGGGAAGGAGCTGATTCCCATGGATCTGTGTATTCCCTAGGGAAGGAAGGAGCTGATTCCCATGGATCTGTGTATTCCTAGGGATGGGAAGGAGCTGATTCCCATGGATCTGTTATTCCATAGGGAAGGGAAGGAGCTGATTCCCATGGACGATTCCATAGGAAGGAAGGAGCTGATTCCCATGGATCTGTGATTCCCTAGGGAAGGAAGGAGCTGATTCCCATGGATCTGTGTATTCCCTGGGGAAGGGAAGGAGCTGATTCCCATGGATCTGTGTATTCCATAGGGAAGGGAAGGAGCTGATTCCCATGGATCTGTGTATTCCTAGGGAAGGGAAGGAGCTGATTCCTATGGATCTGTGTATTCCATAGGGAAGGGAAGGAGCTGATTCCCATGGATCTGTATTCCCTAGGGAAGGGAAGGAGCTGATTCCCATGGATCTGTGTATTCCTAGGGAAGGGAAGGAGCTGATTCCCATGGATCTGTGTATTCCATAGGAAGGGAAGGAGCTGATTCCCATGGATCTGTGTATTCCATAGGGAAGGGAAGGAGCTGATTCCCATGGATCTGTGTATTCCTAGGGAAGGGAAGGAGCTGATTCCCATGGATCTGTGTATTCCATAGGGAAGGGAAGGAGCTGATTCCCATGGATCTGTGTATTCCATGGGGAAGGGAAGGAGCTGATTCCCATGGATCTGTGTATTCCCTGGGGAAGGGAAGGAGCTGATTCCCATGGATCTGTGTATTCCCTAGGGAAGGGAAGGAGCTGATTCCCATGGATCTGTGTATTCCATAGGGAAGGGAAGGAGCTGATTCCCATGGATCGTGATTCCTAGGGAAGGGAAGGAGCTGATTCCCATGGATCTGTGTATTCCATAGGGAAGGGAAGGAGCTGATTCCCATGGATCTGTGTATTCCATAGGGAAGGGAAGGAGCTGATTCCCATGGATCTGTGTATTCCTGGGAAGGAAGGAGCTGATTCCCATGGATCTGATTCCATAGGGAAGGAAGGAGCTGATTCCCATGGATCTGTGTATTCCCTGGGGAAGGGAAGGAGCTGATTCCCGGATCGTGTATTCCATAGGGAAGGGAAGGAGCTGATTCCCATGGATCTGTGTATTCCATAGGGAAGGGAAGGAGCTGATTCCCATGGATCTGTGTATTCCATAGGGAAGGGAAGGAGCTGATTCCCATGGATCTGTGTATTCCATAGGGAAGGGAAGGAGCTGATTCCCATGGATCTGTGTATTCCATAGGGAAGGGAAGGAGCTGATTCCCATGGATCTGTGTATTCCTAGGGAAGGGAAGGAGCTGATTCCCATGGATCTGTGTATTCCCTAGGGAAGGGAAGGAGCTGATTCCCATGGATCTGTGTATTCCTAGGGAAGGGAAGGAGCTGATTCCCATGGATCTGTGTATTCCCTAGGGAAGGGAAGGAGCTGATTCCCATGGATCTGTGTATTCCATAGGGAAGGGAAGGAGCTGATTCCCATGGATCTGTGTATTCCATAGGGAAGGGAAGGAGCTGATTCCCATGGATCTGTGTATTCCATAGGGAAGGGAAGGAGCTGATTCCCATGGATCTGTGTATTCCTAGGGAAGGGAAGGAGCTGATTCCCATGGATCTGTGCATTCCCTAGGGAAGGGAAGGAGCTGATTCCCATGGATCTGTGTATTCCATAGGGAAGGAGCTGATTCCCATGGATCTGTGTATTCCATAGGGAAGGGAAGGAGCTGATTCCCATGGATCTGTGTATTCCATAGGGAAGGGAAGGAGCTGATTCCCATGGATCTGTGTATTCCATAGGGAAGGGAAGGAGCTGATTCCCATGGATCTGTGTATTCCATAGGGAAGGGAAGGAGCTGATTCCCACATTCCCATGGATCTGTGTATTCCATAGGGATGGGAAGGAGCTGATTCCCATGGATCTGTGTATTCCTGGGAAGGGAAGGAGCTGATTCCCATGGATCTGTGTATTCCATAGGAAGGGAAGGAGCTGATTCCCATGGATCTGTGTATTCCTGGGGAAGGGAAGGAGCTGATTCCCATGGATCTGTGTATTCCCTAGGGAAGGGAAGGAGCTGATTCCCATGGATCTGTGTATTCCATAGGGAAGGGAAGGAGCTGATTCCCATGGATCTGTGTATTCCTAGGGAAGGGAAGGAGCTGATTCCCATGGATCTGTGTATTCCATAGGGAAGGGAAGGAGCTGATTCCCATGGATCTGTGTATTCCCTGGTGATGGGAAGGAGCTGATTCCCATGGATCTGTGTATTCCATGGGGAAGGGAAGGAGCTGATTCCCATGGAATTCCATAGGGAAGGGAAGGAGCTGATTCCCATGGAATTCCATAGGGAAGGGAAGGAGCTGATTCCCATGGATCTGTGTATTCCCTGGGGATGGGAAGGAGCTGATTCCCATGGAATTCCATAGGGAAGGGAAGGAGCTGATTCCCATGGATCTGTGTATTCCATAGGGAAGGGAACTGATTCCCATGGATCTGTGTATTCCCTGGGGAAGGGAAGGAGCTGATTCCCATGGATCTGTGTATTCCCTGGGGAAGGGAAGGAGCTGATTCCCATGGAATTCCAGAGGGAAGGGAAGGAGCTGATTCCCATGGAATTCCCTGGGGATGGGAAGGAGCTGATTCCCATGGATCTGTGTATTCCCTGGGGAAGGGAAGGAGCTGATTCCCATGGATTTTCCCATGGAATTCCCTGGGGAAGGGAAGGAGCTGATTCCCATGGATCTGTGTATTCCCTGGGGAAGGGAAGGAGCTGATTCCCATGGATCTGTGTATTCCATAGGGAAGGGAAGGAGCTGATTCCCATGGATCTGTGTATTCCATGGGGAAGGAAGGAGCTGATTCCCATGGATCTGTGTATTCCCTGGGGAAGGGAAGGAGCTGATTCCCATGGAATTCCCTAGGAAAGGGAAGGAGGTGATTCCCATGGAATTCCCTAGGGAAGGGAAGGAGCTGATTCCCATGGAATTCCCTAGGAAAGGGAAGGAGGTGATTCCCATGGAATTCCCTAGGGATGGGAAGGAGCTGATTCCCATGGAATTCCCTGGGGAAGGGAAGGAGCTGATTCCCATGGATCTGTGTATTCCATAGGGAAGGGAAGGAGCTGATTCCCATGGATCTGTGTATTCCTAGGGAAGGGAAGGAGCTGATTCCCATGGATCTGTGTATTCCATAGGGAAGGGAAGGAGCTGATTCCCATGGATCTGTGTATTCCCTGGGGAAGGGAAGGAGCTGATTCCCATGGATCTGTGTATTCCCTGGGGAAGGGAAGGAGCTGATTCCCATGGATCTGTGTATTCCCTGGGGAAGGGAAGGAGCTGATTCCCATGGAATTCCATAGGGAAGGGAAGGAGCTGATTCCCATGGATCTGTGTATTCCCTGGGGAAGGGAAGGAGCTGATTCCCATGGATCTGTGTATTCCCTGGGGATGGGAAGGAGCTGATTCCCATGGATCTGTGTATTCCCTGGGGAAGGGAAGGAGCTGATTCCCATGGATCTGTGTATTCCCTAGGGAAGGGAAGGAGCTGATTCCCATGGATCTGTGTATTCCCTGGGGATGGGAAAGAGCTGATTCCCATGGATCTGTGTATTCCCTGGGGAAGGGAAGGAGCTGATTCCCATGGATCTGTGTATTCCCTGGGGAAGGGAAGGAGCTGATTCCCATGGATCTGTGTATTCCCTGGGGATGGGAAGGAGCTGATTGATTCCCTGGGGATGGGAAGGAGCTGATTCCCATGGATCTGTGTATTCCTAGGGAAGGAAGGAGCTGATTCCATGGATCTGTGTATTCCCTGGGGAAGGGAATCGCCGCCTGCCACTGGCTGATTCCCATGGATCTGTGTATTCCCTGGGGAAGGGAAGGAGCTGATTCCCATGGATCTGTGCATTCCCTGGGGATGGGAAGGAGCTGATTCCCATGTCCCACATTCCCATGGATTTTCTCTGTAATTCCCTAGGGAAGGGCGTGAGTTGCTCCCAGTATCCGAGGCTCCGTTGGAGACGCAGCGCGCCATCGCCGCCTGCCACTCGCTGCTGATTCCCATGGATCTGTGCATTCCCTGGGGATGGGAAGGAGCTGATTCCCATGCATTTTTCCCTAGGGAAGGGCGTGAGTTGCTCCCAGTTTCTGATGCTCCGTTGGAGACGCAGCGCGCCATCGCCGCCTGCCACTCCCTGCTGCAGCTGGAGGACGGGGCGCTGGTGGGGGACCCCCTGGAGAAGGCCCTGCTGCTGGCCGTCGACTGGACCCTCACCAGAGGTAAATCACAGCATTCCCAAAGAGAGAATTCCCAAAAATTCCCCCAAAATTACGAAATTTCGGAGGTTTTGGCCCTTTTTCCGGTGGGGGAAAAAAAAAGGAAAATTCCACCCAAAATCCCTTGAATTCCACCTGAATTCCACCTGAACTATCTTGAATTCCACCTGAATTGTGTTGAATTCCACCTGAATTCCACCCAAATCCCCTGAATTCCACCCAAACCATCTGAATTCCACCTGAATCCCACCCAAATCCCCCTGAATCCCACCCAAATTCCCCTGAATTCCACCTGAATTGTCTTGAATTCCACCTGAATTCCACCTGAATCCCACCCAAATCCCCCTGAATCCCACCCAAATCCCCCTGAATTCCACCCAAATCCCCCTGAATTCCACCCAAATCCTCTGAATTCCACCCAAATCTCCTGAATTCCACCCAAATTCCCTGAATTCCACCCAAATTCCCCTGAATCCCACTCCAAATTCCCTGAATCCCAACCAAATCCCCCTGAATCCCAGCCAAATCCCCCTGAATCCCACCCAAATCCCCCTGAATTCCACCCAAATCCCCCTGAATTCCACCCAAATCCCCCTGAATTCCACCCAAATCCCCCTGAATTCCACCTGAATTGTCTTGAATTCCACCTGAATTGTCTTGAATTCCACCTGAATTCCACCTGAACCATCTTGAATTCCACCTGAATTGTGTTGAATTCCATCTGAATTCCACCCAAATCCCCCTGAATTCCACCTGAATTCCACATAAACCCCACCCAAACCATCTGAATTCCACCTGAACCATCTTGAATTCCACCCAAATCCCCCTGAATTCCACCCAAATCCCCCTGAATTCCACCCAATTCCCCCTGAATTCCACCCAAATCCCCCCTAAAAACCCCTTTTTTTTCCCACTTCTCACCACAATCCTTTTCAGGATTTCCTGGTCTCTTTGTTTCCAGATGAGAAAGTTTTCCCAAGGGGTCTAAAAACTCCGGGGATGAAAATTCCCCAGCGCTTTCATTTCTCCAGTGCCCTGAAGAGGATGGGCCCTGAATCCCACCCAAATCCCCCTGAATCCCACCCAAATCCCCCTGAATCCCACCCAAATCCCCCTGAATTCCACCTGAATCGTCTTGAATCACCCAAATCCACCTGAATTCCACCTGAATCCCTGAATTCCACCCAAATCCCCCTGAATTCCACCTGAGTTGTGTTGAATTCCATCTGAATTCCACCTGAATTCCACCCAAATCCCCCTTAATCCCACCCAAATCCCCCTGAATCCCACCCAAATCCCCTGAATTCCACCCAAATCCCCTGAATTCCACCTGAATTGTCTTGAATTCCATCTGAATTCCACATAAACCCCACCCAAACCATCTGAATTCCACCTGAACCATCTTGAATTCCACCTGAATTCCACATAAACCCCACCCAAACCATCTGAATTCCATCTGAATTCCACCTGAACCATCTTGAACTCCACCCAAAACCCCCTTTATTTTAATTTATTTCCAACCCCCCTCTTCAGGATTTCCTGGTCTCTTTGTTTCCAGATGAGAAAGTTTTCCCAAGGGGTCTAAAAACTCCGGGGATGAAAATTCCCCAGCGCTTTCATTTCTCCAGTGCCCTGAAGAGGATGGGCCCTGAATCCCACCCAGATCCCCCTGAATCCCACCCAAATCCCCCTGAATCCCACCCAAATCCCCCTGAATTCCACCCAAATCCCCCTGAATTCCACCCAAATCCCCCTGAATCCCACCTGAATTGTGTTGAATTCCATCTGAATTCCACTTGAACCATCTTGAATTCCACCTGAATCCCACCCAAATCCCCCTGAATTCCACCCAAATCCCCTGAATCCACCCAAATCCCCTGAATTCCACCCAAATCCCCCTGAATTCCACCTGAATCCCCCTGAATTCCACCTGAACCATTTGAATTCCACCTGAATCCCACCCAAATCCCCCTGAATTCCACCCAAATCCCCCTGAATCCCACCAATCCTGAATTCCACCCAAATCCCCTGAATTCCACCCAAATCCCCTGAATCCCACCCAAAACCCCTGAATTCCACCCAAATCTCTGAATTCACCCAAATCCCCTGAATCCCACCCAAAACCCCTGAATTCCACCCAAATCCCCCTGAATTCCACCCAAATCCCCCTGAATCCCACCCAAATCCCCCTGAATTCCACCCAAATCCCCCTGAATTCCACCTGAATCCCCCTGAATTCCACCTGAATTGTCTTGAATTCCACCTGAACCATCTTGAATTCCATCTGAATTCCACCTGAACCATCTTGAATTCCACCTGAATCCCACCCAAATCCCCCTGAATTCCACCCAAATCCCCCTGAATCCCACCTGAATTCCACATAAACCCCACCCAAACCATCGGAATTCCACCTGAACCATCTTGAATTCCACCTGGATTCCACCCAAATCCCCCTGAATTCCACCCCAATCCCCCCTAAAAACCCCCTTTTTTTTCCCATTTCCCACCACAACCCTCTTCAGGATTTCCTGGTCTCTTTGTTTCCAGATGAGAAAGTTTTCCCAAGGGGTCTAAAAACTCCGGGGATGAAAATTCACCAGCGCTTTCATTTCTCCAGTGCCCTGAAGAGGATGGCGGTGCTGGCGTCGCTGGAGCGCGGCGGCCTCGCCGAGCCCGCCTTCGTCGCCGCCGTCAAGGGCGCCCCCGAGACCCTGCACCCCATGGTGAGGGGGTTTTTTTGGGGGAAAAAAGGGGAAAAAGGGGAAAAAAAGGGAATTTTTTGGGTGGTGGGGGTGGGTGGGGAGGTGGGGTTTGGTGCTGGTGGCAGGTGGGGGTTTTGTGGCCTTGGGGTTGGGGGTTTTTGTTTCTTTGGAGGTGGATTTTGCTTCTTTGGAGTTGGAATTTTTACCTCCTTTTAGTTGGGATTTTTCCTTCTTTGGAATAGGAATTTTCCCTCTTTGGAATAGGAATTTTTCACTCCTTTTAGTTGGGATTTTGCCCTCCTTGGAGATGGAATTTTTCCCTCTTTGGAGCTGGGATTTTTCCCTCTTTGGAGTTGGGATTTTTTCCTCTTTGGAGCTGAGGTTTTTCCCTCTTTGGAGTTGGGATTTTTCCCTCTCATGGAATAGGAATTTTGCCCTCTTTGGAATAGGAATTTTCCCTCTTTGGAATAGGAATTTTTCCTTCTTTGGAGTTGGGATTTTTCACTCTTTGGAATAGGAATTTTGCCCTTTTTGGAGTTGGGATTTTTCCTTCTTTGTAATAGGAATTTTCCATCTTTGGAAGTGGAATTTGTCACTGGTTGGAGTTGGGATTTTACCCTCTTTGCAGTTGGGATTTTTCCCTCTCTAGAGTTGGGATTTTTCCCTCTTTGGAATAGGAATTTTTCCCTCTTTGGAATAGGAATTTTTCACTCCTTTTAGTTGGGATTTTTCCCTCTTTGGAGTTGGGATTTTGCCCTCTCTGGAGTTGGGATTTGTGGGATTTGTCACTGGTTGCAGTTGGGATTTTTCCTTCTTTGGAGTTGGGATATTTCCCTCTTTGGAGGTGGAATTTTTCCTTCTTTGGAATAGGAATTTTGCCTCCTTTTAGTTGGGATTTTTCCCTCTTTGGAGTTGGGATTTTTACTTCTTTGGAGTTGGGATTTCTGCCTCCTTTTAGTTGGGATTTTTCCCTCCTTTTAGTTGGGATTTTTGCTTCTTTGGAGTCGGGATTTTTCCCTCTTTGGGAGTGGAATTTGTCACTGGTTGGAGTTGGGATTTTTGCTTCTTTGGAGTTGGAATTTTTCCCTTTGGAGTTGGGATTTTTGCTTCTTTGGAATAGGAATTTTGCCTCCTTTTAGTTGGGATTTTTCCCTCTTTGGAGTTGGGATTTTTGCTTCTTTGGAGTTGGGATTTTTGCCTCCTTTTAGTTGGGATTTTTCCCTCCTTTTAGTTGGGATTTTTGCTTCTTTGGAGTCGGGATTTTTCCCTCTTTGGGAGTGGAATTTGTCACTGGTTGGAGTTGGGAATTTTGCTTCCTTGGAGTTGGGATTTTTCCCTCCTTGGAGTTGGGATTTTTGCTTCTTTGGAGTTGGGGTTTTTATTCTTTGGAATAGGAATTTTCCCTCTTTGGAGTTGGGATTTTTGCTTCTTTGGAGTTGGGATTTTTGCCTCCTTTTGGTTGGGATTTTTCCCTCCTTTTGGTTGGGATTTTTCCCTCCTTTTAGTTGGGATTTTTCCCTCCTTTTAGTTGGGATTTTTGCTTCTTTGGAGTCGGGATTTTTCCCTCTTTGGGAGTGGAATTTGTCACTGGTTGGAGTTGGGATTTTGCCCTCCTTGGGGTTGGGATTTTTGCTTCTTTGGAGTTGGGATTTTTCCCTCTTTGGAATAGGAATTTTCCCTCTTTGGAATAGGAATTTTGCCTCTTTTTAATTGGGATTTTTCCCTCTTTGGAGTTGGGATTTTTGCTTCTTTGGAATAGGAATTTTCCCTCTTTGGAACTGGGATTTTACCTTCTCTGGAATAGGAATTTTTCACTCCTTTTAGTTGGGATTTTTGCTTCTTTGGAGTTGGGATTTTTGCTTCTTTGGAATAGGAATTTTGCTTCTTTGGAATAGGAATTTTTCCCTCTCTGGAGTTGGGATTTTTCCTTCTTTGGAGTTGGGATTTTTCCCTCTTTGGAATAGGAATTTTTCCCTCTTTGGAGTTGGAATTTTTCCCTCTCTAGAGTTGGGATTTTTCCCTGTTTGGAATAGGAGTTTTGCCCTCTTTGGAGTTGGGATTTTTATTCTTTAGAATAGGAATTTTGCCCTCTTTGGAGTTGGGATTTTTCCCTCTTTGGAGTTGGGATTTTTCCCTCTTTGGAGTTGGGATTTTTCCCTCTTTGGAGTTGGGATTTTTCCCTCTTTGCAATAGGAATTTTGCCCTCTCTGGAATAGGAATTTTTCACTCCTTTTAGTTGGGATTTTTGCTTCTTTGAAAGTGGGATTTTTCCCTCCTTGGAACTGGGATTTTGCCCTCTCTGGAATAGGAATTTTCCTCCTTTTTAGTTGGGATTTTTGCTTTTTTGGAGTTGGGATTTTCCTTCTTTGGAATAGGAATTTTGCCCTCTTTGGAGGTGGGATTTTTACTTCTTTGGAGTTGGGATTTTTGCTTCTTTGGAATAGGAATTTTTCACTGCTTTTAGTTGGGATTTTTCCTTCTTTGGAATAGGAATTTTACCCTCCTTGGAGGTGGAATTTTTCCCTCTTTGGAGTTGGGATTTTTCACTCTTTGGAATAGGAATTTTTCACTCCTTTTAGTTGGGATTTTACCCTCCTTGGAGATGGAATTTTTCCCTCTTTGGAGCTGGGATTTTTCCCTCTTTGGAGTTGGAATTTTTGCTTCTTTGGAATAGGAATTTTCCCTCCTTGGAGTAGGAATTTTGCCCTTTTTGGAGTTGGGATTTTTGCTTCTTTGGAGGTGGAATTTTTGCTTCTTTGGAATAGGAATTTTGCCCTGTTTGGAAGTGGAATTTGTCACTGGTTGGAGTTGGGATTTTTCCCTCTTTGGAGTTGGGATTTTTCCCTCTTTGGAGTTGGGATTTTTCCCTCTTTGGAGTTGGGATTTTTCCCTCTTTGGAGTTGGGATTTTCCCTCTTTGGAGTTGGGATTTTTCCCTCTTTGGAGTTGGGATTTTTCCCTCTTTGGAGTTGGGATTTTTCCCTCTTTGGAGTTGGGATTTTTCCCTCTTTGGAGTTGGGATTTTTCCCTCTTTGGAATAGGAGTTTTACCCTCCTTGGAGTTGGGATTTTTCCTTCCTTGGAGTTGGGATTTGTCACTTTGGGGAAGGACAGGATGAGGGACTTGTCCCAAAATTTTTGGGAAGGACAAGTGACAATCCA